CACATGCATAAGTATACTTAACGGCACACCAACATCGTACCATTTAATCGTCATCTATCCAAAATTCTGCACAATGCGAACTCGATGCAGTTTAGATGAGCAAAGACGGAGCATTGCTCCACTCCGCCGTTAACATTACATTGCAGGTGGGGAAGCCGTAGTTCGACCGTCTTCAATGGCGCGTAATATCTAACAACTGAGCAAGCATTTGAGTCTGCTCACACCCTGCAGCAGCATAGAATACTACCGCAAAATAATATTTTCTACCTTTAATCAAAAAAAAAAATTATAATCGAAAGAAATAGTTTTGGTTTAGTTTGTTGATACGATAGAATGGTACTATGTTGGAGACTCTCCTATACATAAATAGATATTAAATAAATGCAAAAGTTTCTCGCCAACAGTAAAAGAAAAGCAGAAAAAAATATATAATAGAGAAAATAGGTTACACTCTTAAAATAAAAACATTCCAACCATATACGTGCCAGATTTTTTATTCGCAACAATTAGGAACAATTACTTTAAAACTAAACAAAAAAAAAAATATATAAGTCGAGGTCTCTCGCCCAGACCGTACTAAGTACATAATATATTAATAAATAGATTGTTGGATTGCTTTATATCTCGTGTGTAAAATATACAAAAGAAAAATAAAAATATACAGAGGCTTCGGGCTTCTCTTTCTAACGTTTAGAATTAAGGTTTTCGATGTTTGTGTGTATTAAATTTTTGAGCTTTTGAAACTACTTGACGCTACGCGAATTTTTGACGATATCAAATTTATCTTCGGGCTTTTCATAGTCATTGTTATGTATCTATAGAGCGTTCTAAATTGTTTTCCCGACACAAGTACGTACACACACACATAAACACACACACACACACACATACGCAAGCGTAAAAACTTTTCGACTTGAGTTTTTTCATTCGTGTAAAAACACCATGCCAATCCGCAGTGATATTTGTTCCAATAATTGTGCAATTTTAAATAAATAACTATTATTGTAATATACAATAAACAATGTCTGTAATATGAACGCCATCTTCTACGGTTTCGATGTAGAAGTAGAAGATGCTGTTCGGAAAAAGAATTATAAACAAATAACATCATGTAGTAATTAATATATGCAGCCAGCAAAAGCAGCAGCAGCAAAGAATCAAGGTTTTTTATTTGCCAATTTTTCTTTTCTCGGTTAAATTTCTAAATGTGTAATTATTACGTATGTGAGATACAACAGAGTTCGTTTTCTTTTTCGAATTATTGTAGTGGTGTAGTGAAAGGCAAAATGCACTATTATATTGTTTATGACACGCGGTCCAAGTGTATAGTAAATAAACAACCTGTTGTCAAGTATACGCAAAAAAAACCTTAACTAGAAACAAAATTACGTGAAATCGTTTTGGTTACGATGAACAGCATCATCAAATCTATAATCAAATATAACTGTGTTCTTAAACTACATACGATGTAGGTACTCATGTTTTGAATTTTAAATGTCATCGTTAAGTTTTCGTTTTTTCGTTTTGTTAAAAAATCGTATCGTTTAACAACTCCTTAATATCTGATCGGTTATTTCAAAAGAACGTTAGCAAAAAGATTTTTACGTTTTTTAAGGATCAAGGACAGTAGAGATTTTTGTTTAAAGTATGACTCTAACGGATTGTAGAATTAGAATCGAATTGTTTGATTAATTTAGTAATTGTTATCGATATCTACCTATTTTTCGTTCGTTTCCCTAATTATATTACGAGGATGAGAATTCAGTTTCCCTTTTTTTATGCGACAAATTTTCTTTTAGTTTTTATTATCGTCTAATAATAATGATAATTTTTTAATGATCGTATTCAATACCTACCTAATTAATATATACNTGTACGAACTTTATTTGCCCAGTGATATTGCATCGTAGCGTGGTGCGTCTCTCGCATTTTCACAATTCTGGAAAATGGAACCGCATCGTAAGTTTAACCCTTTAGCATATTTTAAAATATTTTTTATGTACGTATACAAAGTGCTTTTGTCAAAAAATATTGTTCTATTTCGGAATTCGTTTTTCGATAAATATGATAACTTGGTGCCTGCATAAAATATAGTAAGAAATTACGATTTTATTATAAAAAAAAACACCTGGTGTCGATAGCATTTCCTTTTTTTTTTCGTTTTGTTTCTGCCAATGTTTGTTTGCCGGTAATACAACTAATTATGGTTCAATTTACGATAACAACCGCTTCCTCCACGTAAATACTAAATGCGAGGTCAGTAATATTTATATACCTATTCGTTGGTTTTTTTTATCTCCAAATTGTTGTCCTTGTAAGGTTTCACGACAATAGAAACAACTTTTATCGGGTTGACGCGTGTTTTTCTACAGACTGTGTAGGTACATCAATAAAACAGAAAAAAACAATATGTCGATACTTTCTCGATTCCTTTTATCTGAAAATCGTTTTACTTCAAGCAACAATACTCCGAATAAAAATTTTTTTCTTTACTTTTTAAGTTTTCTTTTGCGACTGCTGATTTTTCAATTTATCGAATAAGAAGTTAAATCTTTCTGTTTGAAGCATTGGGGGATGATTTCTATAGTTGTACCTTTTAGAGGGTTAGAAAATAATAGTATTATTATTAAGAAATTCCAGTTAACAAAATAATGACGATCGACCTCCAACGGTGAGAAATAATCATTAAGCAATCTGCATCTGCGGTCAGGCGGACACATAATATGCACAGACATCACATGCATAAAATGACATCTCAGAAACAATATCGGTCCGTTTCCCATAGAGTTTAAAAAGCCCAACTGGGACAAGGCCAAAAATGCTCCGGAGATAGCGTACTCGTATGCATATATTCTCTGATTGCTTTAACCTCATCCTAACTAGGTCTCAATCGAAACCGCACGTCTCAAATGTACACGCACAATACAGATAAATAAATATAGTATTCTACCGACATTATACATACATATATATTATGTATAAGTTTGCGACATCTTATACAACTATAATTTTAGTTCTGATTTTAGAGCGAAGCCTCGAATGTCAATAGCAGGGAGAAGAACGTACACCGAAGACGAGCTCCAAGCTGCGCTAAGGGACATCCAGTCGGGCAAGTTGGGAACCCGACGAGCCGCCGTCATATACGGCATTCCCCGTTCGACACTCCGGAACAAAGTCTACAAATTGGCAATGGAACGAGAACGGGAGTCCCATTTGAACACGTCGACGCCACTGAAAATTGACGAAGAAGAAAACATAGACGACGAAAAAGAATTATCCGGGGCCGAAGAAGAGAAAGAGGTCGAGAAAGCCCTCCAAGCTCCGCTCCTTTCGATGGCCGACATCCTACGATTTTCCACCCTCGATAACCAAGAAGCTCTCAAACACTTGTTGCAAAGAAGCAAAGAAGGTCATGACGTTCTGACCGGTCTGGAGCACAGTGCGATGGGACCGTACATTCAAAATCTGATTCTGGCCAGCGGGAATCTATTTCCCGGTCAAAAAATCGTCCCCGAAAGCGAAACGACAAACCCATTACTACCGGAATTTCTCAAGAGGATGATGGTAGAAGACCATTTCAAAGAGCAATTGATACGGAGCCAAACGAACAACGGAGAAAACGACAAAATAAGCAGGCCGAGTCCCTCGAACTCGGTCCTGGCGCGCTCCGAAAAGTCCAGGTCAGAATCGGACATGGAAACCGACGAGTCACCTTCTAATGTGATACTTAAAATTCCGTCCTTCAAGCCAACCACGAGTAAAAATGGAACGGAGGTGTTAAAAACAGCAACAACAAACTTAGCAGCAGCAGCAGTAGCAACAGAACCGAGTGTAATTGTTTCGCCGCCGATCGCGAAAGAATCCGCCTCGCCGCCAATTCTGCCGGGACGTGAAATGACGCTGAAAGACGTCAAGGACGTCGTAGCAAGGACTATATGCCAAAAGTTTCAGCAAACGCCCGAACCGATGCGCATCCCTCACATGATGGACATCGATTATAAACGGGGCGGATTCACTCCTCCGATGTCTAACATTCAAGGCATGAAAACGCAGCAGGACATTGCCCGACCCTATCAACCACCGCCACCTCCGCCGAAACCAACTCAATCCACAACCTGTACGACCACGACAACTACGGGGGGGAAAGGAACGAGGCCGAAACGCGGTAAATACAGGAACTATGACAGAGACAGCCTGGTAGAAGCAGTCAGAGCGGTGCAAAGAGGGGAAATGTCCGTGCACCGGGCTGGCAGCTACTACGGCGTGCCACATTCCACATTAGAATATAAAGTCAAAGAAAGGCATCTGATGAGGCCGAGAAAAAGGGACCCGAAACCGAATCCAGTAGACGAGAAGATCGCTTCTTTGAAACAGAACGATTTACGAAATGCAGCCGAAAAAATGAAAACAACTGTGATGAAACCGCCGCAAACGAAATTCCCCACCTCACCAAACGGTATGAAACTGCCAATTTTCGATCCCACCATGACTCCTCTAGGGTACACTCCGCCACCTTTCCCTTTCTGGCCGCATCCCAGTTTTCCACACATTCCCATGGATTACGGTCGTAGTCCTTCAGCTACTTCGTTTCCACCGAACCCTGAACAATATTTTGCAACTCAAATGATGCAAAAATTACAAGAAGACTCGAACAAGACTCAAAACTGTAACGTTCCGGCGTCGGCCATCAATTCGATTCCCAATTTGCCTAAAAGTGCCAGGCAAATGGCGGAATCGTTACTCGATAGCTCGGGAACGAACGGATCATTCCTGGACGGCATCATAAGATCCAGTTTGGAATCAGGTGTGCCGTCGTCAAACGACGAAACGTCACCGAAAGACGAGAAAAACTTAGCACCGGAAAACATGTCGAACAAAGCGTTGCTCGAACAGTTATGCCGTAACAGTAGATTAACGCCATTAACAAAACCGAATCTGACGGAATCAAACAGCTCAACGGAAGAGAACTTTCGTAAGAACGCGAGTCCGCTTAATTTTAGCAGTACAATGAGCGACGAACATTCGTCTGGTAGTGGTTTACACTCGAACCAAGGTGGTCGCACCGATCGCGAATGTTCTCCGCGGGGAGACCATTCCGACGTGCCGACGATAGAGCTCTCGAACGATTCAAACGAATCCACGACGACGGATCAACCGCGCAACAACGGGCAAACTCAGGAAGAACGGAAAACGATCCCAACAGCGAGAATTTTTCTGAAACAAGAACTGACAAAAGTGGAGAACCTCAAGCCCGAGATGCTGGTCCGTTTTCGTGACGCATTGCACGACGTCGACCGGAACGGTACCGGAGAATCTGCAACAGGAAGTGCCTCAGAATCGGATGCGGCTCAAGACTGACATCAGGTTAACGTTTGCGCAAGGTTTTTATACTGAGGAATCAACATTCCTCGCGGTTATATTGTTGAAACGTTTCCAGTTCGGAAACTTATGGTTGTTGTCACAAGAGGTCGATGACGGTGTTTGTTGATTATTATTATGATTATTATTATTATTATTATTATTTGTATTGTTTCTGTTGCAGTTAGAATAGTGAATTTTAAAAGAGCGTTCTGTTTGCGGAACTTTCCACACCGAATCGACTCGACTTGACTGTTGATCGAACTTCTCTCCTTGCTTTCATCGGTAAGTTTTTCAAAACATAAAGTATTTAGATGCCCGTCCCTCTACAGAAAACAATACGTATTTTTTCCATTGAAATACAAATACTAGGGACAATCTTTAAAGAATTCTACGAAAAATTAAAAATAAATTAGTTTTGGTATTAGACCGTTAACATTCGTTAAAAATTAATTTTTCGATTCTCTATTACAAAAAGAACAGCACCGATTGCTATCCAGAAAGTTACTGAAATACCACCGAAAGAGCGACGCATTTATACTAAAAAAGCGCCGAAACAGCACTAAAGGGATACTAAAATTTGAAT